ATCTTTCATTTGATTTTGTAAAAGAGAAATATGAGATTTAATAGTTATTTTAGATCTATTTGACTAATTTTATGAAAGTATTTCTTTCAGTTTAAAAAAAAAAATGTATGATGAATTTCCTTAACTCCAACTAAACGTTTAATAATATTTCGTTTATGGAATATAGGGTCGGAGGTAGTGGTCGCTAGTGTATATGAGAGGATATTCGAGCGTACTTAAGATCAAAATTTTTTTTTCTTTTTGGGTAGAATACCTCGATTGGGTTTGGAATGTATATTAGGAAATAAGATAGAGGAAGATTGCCTTCCAAGTTGTGTGTCCATGCTCTCAAGAAATGGACATTATACACTATTTCTTTTTGGTCCAAACAATTTTTAGTTATTTTGAGAATAATTTAATTTCGGAAAAAAATAATTCTTTATTTATAAATATTCATTTTCTATAACTCAGAAATAGACATTACTACAAAAATAGCATTTTGCAACGTTAAAAAAATGTTGCCAAAAACTTTTTGCAACGTTTGGACGTACGTTGCAAACCTCAATATTGTCGTAAAGTATAAGGATACGACAACGTTTTTTGAATGTTGCAAATAACATTTTGCAACTTTTTAAAATATGGTTAATACATTTTTGCAACATTTTTTGAATGTGGCTAATAACATTTTTGACAACTTTTTTTAGCGTTGCTAATAACCTTTTTGCAGCATTTTTTAAATGCTACCTATACTTATATTCTTATTTTTGGCAACCTTTTTTTACCATTGCCATTAATGTTTTAACAACATTCACTGAACATTGTCGTTTCCTACATTTTTTTTAAAAGAAAAATTACTACATATATTGTTATATTTAATTATATTATTTTAAATATATCAAACTCATTTCACAATAATCTTTAAATTTATTTATGTAATAACAATAAATAATAAATTCGTCATCCCAAATCATTTTCTTACAATCCTCCTAGAAAAATAAAATTAATCGTATAAAAAAAGACAACTTAAAGCTACAGTTTATGTACAAATTAAATTAACAAAAAGAAGATAAAGTACATTAATAACAAAAACAGGAAAAACTACAGTTCATTTCACCCATGGTATGCATGAAATCCGTCAATGTCCTTCCATCAACCGGTGAAAGTTCAAGGGAGCCAAAATCAGCAACCTGTCAAAAGATTGGAAAATTAGCAACAAACACTCATCTCGAGAATGTCTTAAAAACCAGGTCCTCACATGTCTCGAACCAGAAATTGAGGGTAAAGAGTGTAGCTGAGTGACTGTGGTCAAAGGTTCATGGATACGCTATTACAAATTGAAAAACTCAGTACATCTTTCATTTTCTTATCAGATCTTAAAATTTTAGTGCCACTAAGTTCAAAGACTATATAGGATCAGACGAGACAACAATGGCCAGTCAAGTAGCATAAATATACAATGAGTCTTGTGGACAACATACCGACTTAGCTTCCTTGTATTCAGTCACAGCCTTGTGGGAAGCATAGGAGAATTTAACATCAGGTCCTAATTCGGGC